GACTGGCTTGCACCCCAGAACTGTGCCCTGACTGGGAATCAAACTAGTGACCTTTCACTTTGTAGGACAGCATTCAACCAACTGAGCTATGCTGGTCAGGTGAAATTTTTTTTTACAAGGAAAATGCCTTTGTGTATTGTGTAATTAAACAATACAAACAGAAAAGAGCTAAATATTTTTCTTTTTTCCCTCTGTAATCATTTAATTTTTTATATTTTTTCTTTATTTTTATTGTTGTCACTATTAGGGATGTCCCTATTTTACGCCCCTTTGCCCTCCTCCACCCAGCCCCCTCCTCTCTGCCCCTCCTTCCCTCTGGCCATCCCCACACTGTTGTGGATGTCTATGAGTTATGCATGTATATGCTTTGGCTAATCCCTTCACCTTCTTTCATCTAGTTTCCCCACCCCCACCCTGACGGCTGTCAGTCTGTTCTATGTGTCCATGCCTCTGTTTCTGTTTTGTTCATTAGATTCCACATGTAAGTGAGAGAGATCATATGGTATTTGTCTTTCACCTCCTGGCTTATTTCACTTAACATAACAGTCTCCAGGTCCATCCATGCTGTTGCAAAAGGCAAGATGTTTGTATTCTCAATATATATGCTGTTGAAGTGAGCATATACCTAAATATGAACAGATGATGAGAAAGCCATTAAAGGCATGGTTTCAAAGACTTTATCATAACAAGCACAATTCAGTTGGCAAAGAAAGGGGAAGTGGATATTACACGTGAGGAAGTGATATTTTGGTGGGGCTATTGGCCATTTTGACAAGAAATGAAGCATTAAATTTTTAGTCTTTTAAAAAAAAAGTGTTCAGTAGACACCCTCACCACATTCCTAATCAGTCCAAATGCAAGGCTCAGAAATGTTTGCTATGTACATGATAATTTTATATTTTGATGTGGGCATCAAAATATCCTGTTTTAATTTAAGCAGAGGAAACAGCAAGAAAGAAAGTGGAAAACAGAACAATTCATCTGGACCACCAGTCACTCGCACTGTTGGAGTGTGTGGTTAGAGGTGGGGGTTTGGAGGGCATAGCGTTGGGGTGGCAGTCATGGGCAGATCCTCCTTTTCTGTCTTTCTCTTTCATGTTGTTCCTTCTTCTCTCCCAGCTTCCTCCCTATCTTTCCCCCGCTCCATTGAGGATAGGGCTTGGAAACACAAAGATGGTTAGAACACTACTTCTGCCCCCAAAGCTTGAAGTCTGTTTTGGTAGGTAGATGGATTTGCGGTGACATTTGCGGCAGACTCAAATCCATGCCTTTGCTCTTAAACCATCCTGAGAGCCCTGGCCCTTCTTCCCTTCTCCACCCTTCTGAATTCCTAGGAGTCTGATCTCCACTTAGATACTTAGCCCTCCACAATTCTAAACTGTCTTCTGTTGTACGTGACTTATGTGTGTTCATTTTGTCTCCTGAGTCTATTATAAACTCTTTGGGGGCAGGGGCCACTTTTCTGTGACCTTTTGTTCAGCCAGGTAGTTGGAAACCAGATGAGTTTCTGAACTTCCATGAATTCCTTCTATACAGCCATGCTTATCACCAGACTGACAAACAGTACCTAGACAGAGTAAGGATGATTTCAGGGGACCCGAGACACCCTTGCAGACCCAGGGTGTGAGGTTTTGTCAGCTGGGGTGGGTGTGTAATTTTAGAGCACTCAGCAATGTTATTTGCTTTTAATCAGAAGTCACAGGAGAACCGTTGGTTTTGAGAAGAAACACTCCCCTCTCCAGAGTAACTGATTAAACTGTAACTACAAGGGTAATGTAGGGTCCTTATCACACAGTAATGGAGATAGAAGCCTTATGTGAGAAGGGAGTTTAGCATTCTTTATTTTTTATTTTTATTTTTTTTTATCCTTACCTGAGGGCATTTCCCCCCACTACTTTTAGAGAGGAAGGGAAAGAGGAAGGGAGGAAGGGAGTGAGAGAAACATCAATGGGGTTTGAGGGAGAAAAACAAGGACCGGTTGCCTCCTGGACGTGGCCAGACTGGTGATGGACCCCGCAGCCTAAGGCATGTGCTCGGACCAGGAAGCAGACTCACGCTGTTTAGGTTACAGGTCGCTCCAACTGAGTCACACTGGCCAGGGCGGGTGCTTTGCATTCTTGATATTTATCCTACAACCTGAACCTTTATCTAGTCTTGGAATGTGCCAGACTCTGTTGCTAAGCAGCTTTTCAGAGATTATCTCGTTTAATCTTCACAGTCCCCCTTTGAGAATTATTATTATCCTGATTCTACAGAAAATGAAATGAAATCAGAAAGTTAAGTAACTTGCTTGGGATCACATAGCTAGAATTGATGGGGCCAGGATTTGAACCTAGGCTCACTAACTCCAGAGCCCATGATGTTAACTACTTTGCTGTATTTCCCCAATCACTAAATATGAGGGGGGACCCAAAAAACCCCCCAAACTCTGGAATTATCTTGTGGACGACGGGCCCCTTGTAGTACAGGCTTCCTCGCCAGGTAAGTGTTCTAGGAACCCTTCTGTATCAGTGTACAGCTGGTGTTGCTGTGAGAGGCTGTACTTCAGTGAATATTTTTTGAAGATTCTTTCAAGGGGTTTGCCTGTTTCATGATGGATGATTTACCTGTGCACCTGCCCACACCGTGCTGAGTGTTCAGCAGTTTTTGACCCAAGACAGCACGACCCCTGTGCCCTACCCTCCCTATTTACCTACCTCAGATTTTGACCAGAGTGACTTTTTTTGTTTCCCTGATGAAAAAAGTCCTCAAAGGGAAATGTTTTCCTGATGTGGAAGAGGGGAAACAAAAAGGGGCAGAAGCACTAAAAGGCATCAGAATTGGTGAGTTCAAAACCTGTTTTGAGCAGTGGAAAAACTGTCTCCATAGGTGTATTGCATCAAATGGAGAGTCCTTTGAAGGTGACTGAAGTTTAAACATATAGGAATAAACATGCAATTTTTTAAATAAATGAATTCCATTTTTTCTGGGTCCCCCCTTGTATGGCATCAGAATAGGTGAACTAGAAATACAGTTGTGTGGTTGTCTTCCTAATTGTGGTGGTAATACTTTAAAGTTTTGAGTATTTCCTCTGAGTGAAAGCATCAATTTCATTCAATTGATGTGCTGGGCGTCATGGAGCAGGAAAAAAATACCTGTTTATACTTTGAGGAAAGAGCAGAATTTGAGCCTTTGGTTCCCTGCTTTGTGTGTATGTAAATTACATACATGTAAATTACATAGATATGTAAATTATGAGGTTGGATTTTCCAAGGCTGTATGTGATTCAATGAAAAATTTCACTAATACATGTTTGTTGAATTTAGTAGTTCTTTTCATGTATTTGCTCAACAAAAACAATTTGTTAAACATAAAACTAAGTGCAATTTTATTTGATACTTATCAATTTTTTTCTTTTTCTTTTTTAGTTGAATTTATTGGGGTGACATTGGTTAATAAAATTATACAGTTTTCAGTATTTGATACTTTTATCAAATTTTAATATGAATTATCATCAATTGAAATAATCTATTAGAATATGTGATTCAGTTCTGGGTTTGGATAATATAGTCTAAGGATTTCTTTGTGAATTTGTTTAAAAGATTCTGGGGATGTAAAGTACAACATAGGGAATATAGTAAAAAATATTGTAATAACTATGTTTGGTACTAGGTGGGTACTAAAATTATCAGGGGGATCACTTCATAAATTATATAATTGTGTAACCATTTGTACACCGAAAACTAATATAAAATAATATTGAATGTCAACTGTAATTGAAAAATTAAAAAAGGCAAACCCTCCCCACCCCAAATCTGTTCAAAAGATAACTCTTGAAAGGCCACTGTGTGCAAGAGGTCATGGGGAGCAAAATGGATGCAGTCTCTGTCCACTTGTGGCAGGAAGTCTAGTTGGGAAACTTCACATGAAATAAATGATCACACAATATGTAATTATAAATTGTGATAAGAACTATGAAGGAAGAATATAGAGTGCTATGTGAAAGTTTAGCAGGGGAACTGATTTATACCGGGGGAGGGTCATGGACGGCATCTGAACCAGTGTCATTTAAGCTGAGGTCTGAAAGATAATTGAGTAAAAGTTGGGTCAGCCACTACAGCCAACACCGGCAAAGGCTCTGAGGCAGAGTTTGCTGAGAAACTGAAACATGTGGGCAAAGCTTAGTGAAAGAGAAGGAGAGTGCTGGGAGAACTTCAGGTCAAAGATGTCAGAAGGAGCAATAGAAATAAATATCCCTAGAAAAATCCAGCATAGATAAAGAATATAGAAAAAATAATGCTTTAAGTTTACAATGTTTCATATCTGTTGTCCCAGTTAATCTTCACTAGAATCCCGTGAGTCAGGGAGGGCAAGCATAATTATGGTTATTTCTACCATTGAGGATTAAAACTCAGCCAGGGACAAAGTTTTGCCGGTTTTGGTTTCGTGATTCAAACTCGGGATGCAAACATTGTGGGTTTTCTGGGAAGCCAGAAGGGAGCGGGTTGAATGAAACATAAGTGACCTGCCGCTACGCTCAGTGACTATCTGCAGAAAGAAGGTTGTGAACTAAATTTAATAGTAAATACTTCTTGGTTGCCACTCCGTACCTACCCTTCTGGGCTGTTCTCTCTGTGTAAAGACAGAAAACGAAATCGTGCATTTTTGAGAATGACTTTTAAATACGACAGTTTTGTAATTCTGAGATTTACACATCAGGACAAAATTCGAGTGTAAGCTACCAATATCTGGCTGGAACCTAAAAATCGGAGCAGCCCGAAGGGTTAATCAAAATCAGAAACTGCAACTCCTGGGAGGCTTTCTGGCTGGGGCTCCTCCCCGCCCCAATCAGTCTCTATTCCGCCAGGGCATGAGGAGACCAATGACGGTTAGTGATTTGAATAGACCAATAATATAATGAAACTGTTCTGCTTGGTCAAGTTATCCAATCGTATGGAAGAGGGGCAATCATCTTAGCCAATCCAAAGGTGTGGGGGCGGGGCATAACTTGGGGGCGGTGAAAGAAGTTTGCTGACTAAGATGGCGACTGAGGCGCAGAGTGAAGGGGAGGTGCCAGCTTGCGAATCTGGTCGCAGGTATGAGCCGAGTTTTTGGTCCAGCTGCCTAGGAAACGAGGCGGTTGGCTGGTTATACTGACGCCTTTCCTTTGGGTCATGGTGACCTAACAGAGCCGGACTCTGTGCCATACTCCCACTATGTTTCGCGTCTGCTGGGACTGAGGCGCAGTGGTCGCGCGCGGCGCTGCGCTGGGCTTTAGTCGGGCAAACCGCTTGGCCTTGCGGCCCGTTGGAGGTCCATCCGTGGCGCTGGCTGCAAACCGACCAGTTGGTGGTGGCAGCACTGCCTGCCTGCCTTTGCGCTGAGACCCATCTTGATTGGGAGGAATCTCAAGCTCAGCGCTGTTAAGTGAATTCCCCAACGTCACACAGCGCTGGGGGAGAACTCTCGGTACTTTTTGCTGGGCTCAGAGTCAGTATGTGGTTAAGTCAGAGCAGAGCAAAGGTCTGGGTGTCCGTTAGAAATGTTTTCGAATCCTTGGGCCACTTTTTCTTTTTTAATAAGAATTTATTTTATTATGGCAAGAACACTTAACAAGAGATCTGTCCACTCAGTGAATTTTTAAGTGTACAATATTGTTTAAGTGTCAACAGTATTGTTGACAGTAGGTACAATGTTGTATAGCAAATTTGAAGAGCTTATTTATTTTGTTTAACTGAAACTTTATGTCTGTTAGTAATTCCCCCATTTCCCAATCCTTCCGGCCCCTGGCAAGCACCATTCCACTATTTTAATTCTATGACTGACTATGTTAGATACCTCCTATACATAGTATCATGTAGTACTAGTCTTTCTGTAATTGACTTATTTCACTTAGCATGATGTCTTCACATATGCAGAATTTTCTTTTTGAAAGCTGAGTAATATTCTTTGTATTTACTACATTTTGCTTATTCATTCATCCATTTGTCCATGGACATTTAGACTGTTTCTACATCTTGGTTAGTGTTTTTTTTTTTTTTTTTTTTTAATATTTATTTATTTTAGAAAGAAAGGAGGGGAGGAAAAAAGAGAAAGAGAGGAACATCAGTGTGAGAGAGAAACATCCATTGGTTGCCTCTTGTACATGCTCGACCGGGGACCTGGACCACAACCCAGACATGTGCCTTGACAGGAATCAAACTGGTGACCTTTCACTTTGCAGGACGATGGCCAGCCAACTGAGCTACACTGGTCAGGGCTTTTTTTTTTTTTTTTTAAGGATTTTATTTATTTGCCCTGGCTAGTGTAGCTCAGTGGATTGAGTGTGGGCTGCAAACCAAAGTGTCGCAGGTTCGATTCCCAGTCAGGGTACATGCCTGGGTTGCAGGCCATGACCCCCAGCAAGCACACATTGATGTTTCTCTCTCCCTCTCTCTTTCTCCCTCCCTTCCCTCTCTAAAAAATAAATAAATAAAATCTTAAAAAAAAGATTTTATTTATTTATTTTTTAGAGAGAGGATAAGGGAGAGAGAAAAAGAGGGAGAGAAGCCTTGATGTGTGAAATATCAGTTGGCTGGCTGCCTCTTGCCCTGACTGGCAATCGAACTGGCAACCTTTTGCTTTTCGGTTCATCGTGCAGCCAACTGAGCCATGTGGGTCAGGGCTTGGCTATTCTTAATTGTGCTCAGTGAACATGGGAATGCCAATATCTATTCAAGACCCTGAATTTAACGCTTTTGGGTAAATACCTGGAGGTGGGATTGCTGGATCATATGGTAGTGCTATTTTCAGTGTTTTGAGGAAGCTCCATACTATTTGCCATAGCACCCACATCATTTTTTCATTCCCACCAAGTACAAAATTTCCAGTTTCTCCACATCCTCACTAACACGTGTCTTTCCCCCCCTTTTTTGATAATAGTATCTTGACAGGAGTGAAATAATATCTCTCTGCGATCAAGAACAAGGCACGAAAGCCCACTCTTGCTGCTTCTACTTAGCATAGGGCTGGAAATCTTAGCTAGAGCAATTAGGCAAGAAAAAAACCAAAGGCATTTAAATACTAAAGGAATAAATAAAATCATCTGTTTGCAGACATATTTTTATATATAGAAAATCCTAAAAACTTTAACAAAAAACTTGTTATAAATAATAAACAAATTTAGTAAAGTTAGAGTATGCAAATCAACATACAAAAATCATTGCATTTTTATATACAATGAAATATCTGAAAAGGAAATTAGGGAAACAACCCCATTTACAATAGCACCAAAAAGAATAGAATACTTGGGACAATTTTTAAACCTCTCTCAGCTTCATTTTTTTTTATCTGTAAATAGAAGTAATGATGTCTATTCCAGAAAATGTCAGGATTAAATTAGACATTTCTTTTAAAGAGCTTAGCACTGAGCCTTGCAGGTAACCATTCAATACTTGATAGATTTTCTATTTCCTAGAGCAACTAAAAGAACAGATTAGAGAGATCTGCAGTTTAGGAAATCATTATTTCTACAGAGCATTCTCTCCTAAGCCAGCACACCGAAATTCAGCATTTCTGAGAAAGGCCTTTCAGCTGGGCTTGGCCCAGCCTTGAGATCTTAGTTGTCTTAATTGATTACATATATAGGGTCTGGTACAACTAACACCCTTTTTTTATTACCAAATCATAAGCATGTAATTTCTCTAACATAACAGTATCACACTCAAGCACACCATATGACATTTTAGGTGAAATGTTCAAATTAAAACTGTCAATTATCACACCCATATTACTAACCTACCAACCATACTCAGGCCTTACTTCTGCCAGACCCTGTACATTAGAATTCAGTAGAGCAGTGATTTTCAGCCTTTTTCATCTCATGGCACACATACACTAATTACTAAAATTCCATGGCACACCAAAAAACATTTTTTGCTGATCTGACAAAAAAATTGGTGTAATTTTGATTGATTTACAAAAAAAAATTTAGTAATCATCTACCCTTTTTGCTCCAAAGTGACTTCTTAATATATTGATTTTTTTTTTTTTTTTAGAGAGAGGAAAAGAGGGAGAGAGAGTGAGAGAGAAAGAGAAAGAAACATTGATTTATTGTTCCACTAAGTTATGCATTAGTTGGTTGATTCTTGTATGTGGCCTGACCTGAGATTCAACCTGAAACCTTGGTATATCCGGATGACTCTCCAACTGAGTTTCCTGGCCAGGGTTCCAAAGTGACTTTTTAAAAATCCAGGTGCCTATATTTGTATAAAAGGATTTCTGGTACCAAGAACCCACATCAGACTAATCAGACACAACCTTATTATGTGACATGGCCAATAAGGTGCAGCTCTGTTATATGACCTGTATATTTATGGTTCAAGACACAGCATTCACACTGGACTGCTGTTGCTGTGTTGGCTGTCGTCATTTCTTAATCTGACAATCTTAAGGGAAAAGAGGTCAGTGCCCCTGACTTAATAGTCAAGTATTGCATGCTTTAAAAATTCTTGAGGTGCTGTAGTGCATCTGTTGAAAATCGCTTCAGTAGAGGGATCTTATATAAATTGTGTCCGTGTAAATTGGTTAACTCTTTGGTGTCTCTTGGTACTGGTTACACTGAATAGGCGATTCCAAGTCTTGGGAAGCTGGGTTTATGAGGAGTGGGCACCAAGCTCCTTCCCTAGCTGATATGAGAGTGGTTGAATGTGTTATTACAAATTTTATAGGGGCCTTGATTGGTGTGCCTCTTTGGGTTGGGTGTTGTCCCATTGCTGGTTCGATTCCTTATAAGGGCACATACCTGGGTTGGGGGCCAGGCCCCAGCTTGAGGTGTGACAGAGGCAACCAATGAGTTGATGTTTCTCTTACACATGCATGTTTCTCTCCCTCTCTTTTCCCCTCCCTTCCCCTCTCTCTAAAAATAAATAAATAAAATCTTTAAAAAATCGTTTTATAGGGAAGGATATTCCACTTTTGGAGCTACCTATAAATGGTTGACCATTTTTAGCCCAGAAAGCATAGAGGGGATCAATAAATTTGATTAGATCATCCCTCATCCTATTGTAAAATCTTGAATTGTGATGAAAACCTGAAGATAAAATACTATTCTGTAGCAGAAATAGTTCGTATTCTGAAAGGATGTTGCCAACTAAATTAAATTTTGGTGATAGTATTAGTTACATGATCAATAGGTATTCATGGAATCTTATCTGAACCTGAAACCACTTTTTCAATTCCATATTGTAAAAGACAACTTAGATTTCTGTAAGGCTTTTTGAGGTCAGGACATGTGTATATTATTATTCATATTCCCAATTCTGTAGGTGGTTAATAATGAATAATAGTCTTTATCATTTCTAAGATATAAAATATTACTTTGTGGTGATAAATACCATAAAATTCTCGCTTGCCTTTCAGGTATTAACCTTTCTGATGTTCTGTTGATGGTGTGGCCCCTTGTATTCCATAAAGAAGAGAAAAGACTTGTCTGATTTATGCAGATAATACATATTTGCATATTTTTAATTAAAGTGTAGTTGACATACAATTTTATATTAGTTTCAGGTATTAACATAGTGATTTGACATTTATATTCCTGCTGGTCCGATGGTAGTGGGTTATCAGAATTCAACTAAAGTTAATGACATTTATATTCCTTACATTGTGATCACCACACTAAGTCTAGTAATCATCTGTTACCATACAAGTTGTTATGATAATATTGACGAGTACAGTAACATTGACTATGATGTGCATTCATATTTGCATTATTGAGTATGTGATTATTGTTTAGAACTGTCTAGCTTTCTATTTCCTCATCATTATTTTAAACCTGTTCCTAATAAGTAGACATGCTTTAAATTGTTTTAATCAAAGAATTAAATAAGAAAAATTGTTCCGCCTATAAAGATTTCTGTTGGGAACCTCCCTGCCTGGTTTCAGAAGCTGTAACCCCCCATGGCTAAGGCTGAGTAAAGAGACCTTGGGACCCTAAGCCACTAAGGAGACAAAGCTTATCTACCTGGCAGGGGTGCTGCCTCTGCCCCCTTTACTTCACCCTGCTTGGCCCCTGGCAGATGACTGGTTAGCCAAAGATGGGTAAGATTCCTCAAGG